CCACCCCCATCCCATCATCCCCATCTCCCTGCCGTGTCTCCTGGGTGGTTCTAGGGAATGTTTTATCCCCTGTATCCCGTTGTATCCCATAATTTATTCCCGTTTTTCCCCCCCAGACGAGCTGCCTGCAGTGCCTGGAGGCTCGGAACACGCCCCTGATCCACCCCCATCCCATCATCCCCATCTCCCTTCTGTGCCTCATGGGTGGTTCTGGGGGCTGTTCTATCCATTCTATCCTGTTGTATCCCATGATTTATTCCCGTTTTTCCCCCCCAGACGAGCTGCCTGCAGTGCCTGGAGGCTCGGAACACGCCCCTGCCCGACAGCGCCGCTCCCTTCGTGGCGCGGGCCCTGCGCATCAGCAGCAGCCTGGCCGTGCTGCACCTGGAGAGCGCCGCCCTCTCCGGCCGGCCCCTCATGCTCCTCGGTGAGTCCCGGAATTCCTGGATCATCCTGGGATCCAGGGGAACGTGGGAACACCTTCCTGAGTCAGCAGGGATGGGTTTTATGGGGTTTTTATGGGGTTTTGTTTGTAAATCCCACGTGGGGTGTTTGTGGAGCACCTGGAGAGTGCCGCCCTCTCCATCAGGCCCCTCATGCTCCTCGGTGAGTCCCGGAATTCCTGGATCATCCCAGATTATCCCGGGATCCAGGGGAATGTGGGAACACCTTCCTGAGTCAGCAGGGATGGGTTTTGTGGGGTTTTATGGGGTTGTGTTTGTAAATCCCACGTGGGGTGTTTGTGGAGCACCTGGAGAGCGCCGCCCTCTCCATCAGGCCCCTCATGCTCCTTGGTGAGTCCTGGAATTCCTGGATCATCCCAGATTATCCTGGGATCCAGGGGAATGTGGGAACACCTTCCTGAGTCAGCAGGGATGGGTTTTGTGGGGTTTTATGGGGTTGTGTTTGTAAATCCCACGTGGGGTGTTTGTGGAGCACCTGGAGAGCGCCGCCCTCTCCGGCCGGCCCCTCATGCTCCTCGGTGAGTCCCGGAATTCCTGGATCATCCTGGGATCCAGGGGAATGTGGGAACACCTGCCTGAGTCAGCAGGGATGGGTTTGTTGGGGTTGTGTTTGTTAAATCCCACGTGGGGTGTTTGTGGAGCACCTGGAGAGTGCCGCCCTCTCCATCAGGCCCCTCATGCTCCTCGGTGAGTCCTGGAATTCCTGGATCATCCTGGGATCCAGGGGAATGTGGGAACACCTGCCTGAGTCAGCAGGGATGGGTTTTATGGGG